TTCCCTAAACATAAAGGGCTGGAGATCCTCCTTTGAAACAGGCAGAGATGGACTTAGTCTCCAGATAGGTAGTGAGCTGAAGCCTCTGCCCTTATTTCTTCAGGAATAAACAAAGGGGAAAAAAGAAGGCTGCCCTAGTTCTCAGCAGCAGAAACAGCAGAAATGGAGGCACTAAGCTGAAGCCTGTCACTGGGGCTGCATTTCTTGTTGAAGGGATAAACTGTATCAGACTTGGCTGAAGCTGCAGAAGTGATGGACAGTAGGATGCTAACTGTACCTCAACACAGGCCAAAATGTCTGCTGTGGGGCACAGAACAGGTTCTGACAGAAGCCCTTCTTCTTTACGTGCAGGAAGCTGCCCTTTGAAGATGGCCTCTCCAGGACTGGTGGCCTTTCATCAAGCCTAGAGGGAGTGACATTTAGAGACAGTCTCACTTTAGAGACATTCTGGCTGCTCATCAATACTGATTTAAAAGGCAACAGCTTGGGAGACACCCTTTGCGCCAGAGGAACGCAGGGTCTCCCATTCCCTCATAAACCAGCATGGGTAGAAGCACTCCCACAGTCCTGATACTTGCAGGCAGGACCCTTCCAGTTGTGGGCAAACCTGGTCTTTTGGCAAAGACACTGCTGTAACAGGTCCAACTGTGGGCAAAGGCCATGGAGCTCTGGCTATCTTGGTGCAACTGTATTGGACCATTCTGGTTTGGGTTTGTTTTTTTATAAAAACAAAGATCTTAAAATGCTACTCCAAGGGTGTTTTTAATATTGCAGAAGCTGATTGCCTCGACGCAGAGCATGAGGCAGGCTGAACAAATTTATAATTGAGCCAGCCTTAACAGTTCCCTTGAAGGTGGAATTCATCCCATATTACAGGTAGTATTATATGTTTTAGCTCTAATGCAAGGCAGAGAGCACTTAAAGCCAAGTAGCTCTAAGGTCATATTTGATTAAAAAGAAAAGCTGTTCCTTAAGAAAAGACCTGCCTCCCTACTCCTTCTTTTTAAAGAAACAAATAAAACCACTCCTAAGACTACCAAAAAAAAGGGTGTCATTTTAAAAGCGAAGTTTTAAATTAAGACATTGAAGAGAAAAAAACAGATTGTGCTACAGTAGATAGAAAAGTAGCTGAAGGCTGAACTACTGCAGTCAGTAAGAACAGCAAAAAAGTTCTAACCTGTATCAGAAAGCAATCAAGAAGAACTGATGAGCATCCTGCCCTTCAAGGATTAGGTAAGTGCAGGGCAGAGCCCTGTGTGCCCCTGGACAGAGGCTGAGAGTGACTGGACTTTTTGAATTCTGCAAGGCAGGAACAGTTTTTTTCTTCAGTATCTCAAAGTAGGCAGCAAAATGTTGGAAGAAACAGAGTCTTCAACATATATAAAATACCTATTCTTACATGCATGCTTCCAACGTATACAGAGTCATAAAGATGCTGTTTTATAAAAATATCATAATTTAAAATGCTTCATGATTTCTCCCCACCCCTGGCCATAGCCCATCAGTGTTTCTGGTTCAAATCCCACATTCACAATTCAGAATCAATTACATGAGCTTTTGGTTAACACACTGACCAAATCCTTGGGTGCATCCTTCTGCAGCTAGGGTATCCAGTGTAGAAAAGCCATCAAATATGTCTTACAAATCGTTTTGCATCAATCCTAATTCACGGCATATGTCTGCTCCCATTCAATTCCAACGTGAGAATAGCAGTACAGGAATCCAAGAACAGTCAGTGTTGCCCATGGCCAGCCTATAAATAGAAAGACAGACAATCCTAGTCATAATAATTAAAGACTGCTTCAAGTAGAAATACTCTTGGGATGACCAACTTATGATGCTTCTAATTAATTTTATTTGCAAGTTGATCTCACAAGTAAGTAGAGCCAAGCCACAAAATTTGAAACGGGAAATCTGGATTGTTTGAGCTTCTGGGATGCCTGACCCTCTGCAGCCCCAGTTTTTTCCATTTTCAGGGAAGTGGAGCAGGTTGACTCTGCAGTTCCTAACAATACTTGCCAAATTAAAGAGGTCTGTTTTAATCCCCTCCTTTGTGGTGAGTTTGTCTATCAAGTAGATGTCCAAATGAACCCTGGTGCTTCAAGGTGGCTACTGCGCTTCCTCGGCACAAAGGGATGCAAAGCTACAAGGCAGGTTATTAAAAATCAGAACAAATACAGTTACCTGTTGTGCCAAAAGAGTCTGGGGAACCTCTGGTTAAGGCTGCTTCGGATACCCTGCAGCTGGCTGTAAAACTGATGTACACACTCTACAGCCCCAAAACAGCTAAGGGGGTCAAAACACCAAAGTGCTCATGCAGAACAAACAGCCCTATTTGCCTGATTTGTTCTTGTTAGATTTTTTTATTTTTAATGAAAAAGACTAACTCTTCTAACATCTGCAATTTTTGCTGGGGGGAAATGACGTTTCATCATTATTTAAATTATTTTTAGTGAAAGTCACTATCTTCTCACTTGAATTTTTTACAGCTAAAGCAGAAAGCAGGAGGTCACAAACCAAAAGGTTGATTGCTTTCCAGTGGAGTTATAATTTGAAAAATCTGTATCTGTAGACTTCTCAATCAGGTAAATTATTTTGTTTTTCTTGATACCTTTTCAAGCACCTCTGTTCCCCTTCTCTAGCCTCCTTCTCCCATTAGAATTTATGAGATTTACAGTTTATAGGTTGAAAGACCCAGCACTAGGGCCTGATGTTCTTCAGCGCATTTTGTTTGGGGAATGGGGACAGGGAGTGTTTGAGAGATCTTTTGGTAGCTTTTTTGTTGCTCTTGTTGACATAAGAATTTTTGTAATATGTAATATGATGGGGTTTATGCACACCATGCTCAAATTACCAACAGCTGCTTCTGAAAGAAGGGCTTCAGTGCTCTCTCCTGGGGAAAGAGATGAGATTTCCCATTTGGCCTGGAGAAGGGATGGAGAGAAAATGCAGTTTCTCCACAACATGATACTCCAGGAAGAGCTCTTTCTGAAAGTATGTTTACAAAGTATTTAGCAGGCTGGCTTTGTCCATGCATCAAAGCTGATGCCAGCGTGGAGACTGATCGTGCTAACGTACAGCTGAGCCTTAGCTTAATACCCTGCCTTAGGCTCAGTCCTGCACTAACACAAAATTACACTTTTTGTTTCATTATTCGTTACAGAAAACAAAATTGCTGAGGTATCTCCAAAGATATGTTTAACAATCATAGAATCACAGAATGGTTTGGGCTGGGAGTGACCCTAAAGATCATCTAGCTACAACTCCCCCTGCATGGGCGAGGACACCTCCCACTAGACCAGGTTGCTCCAAGCACCATCCAACCTGGCCTTGAACACTTCCAGGGATGGGGCTTCCAAAGCTTCCCTGGGCAACACTAAAGAACTTCTTCCCAGTATCCAACCTGAATCTAGATTAGACAATAACAGTCTTGTTTTTTCTTCAGTGAACTACTGTAGATTGCATTCCACTTTCAATAGCAAGCTAAAGTTCAGCTGTGCTTTGTCACTGCTAAAATTGCATTTGAATATATGTCAATAGATGTGATAAAAACCTCTTCTGGCAGCAATATTGTGGTGAGTGCTTTGAAGAGACAGAGTCAGAAAGGTAAAAAAAGACTTGAGTCTAGAATTGCGCCTTTTTTTGTTGTGTTTTTTTTTAAAGGGTGTTTTTTAAAAAACCCTGCTAGGTATATAATTTGCATTTTTAAATACTTTAAAGCTCTGGCACGCTGGAAACGTGCCAACAGTAGTCTTCAGTCTGACTTGCTTGTTTATCCCCAGCCAATGTATAAAAGAACTTGCCCAAATATGCAGGTATGCACTGGAACTCTTTTCTAGATGTCTTAGATTTATGCCAAGATTCCTCTGTAGTGCCCATGACCTGGATTCACGGGGGTCTCAGGCTGCAATAATCAGGTTTGTGGTAATCCTGCTGGAACGCAAGGGGTCTCTCCCATACAGTAACAGGTGGCAGAGGGTGCATTTGGCAGATTACCTCCTCCTGATCTAATTAAGATTAAAAGGAAGAGGGAAGACAAAGTGCCTCTCTATGGGAGAGGGAAAAGGGGGATTTTTAAATTTAATCCTGCTACAGCTTTTCTAGGAGGAGCTGCACAAATCCCACACCATTTCTTGCTGCAGGGAGGACAGGTAGCCAACTCAAAGCCAGGGTGAAAGAGAGAGCACCTCTGCCTTGTTGGTCCTTTCTTGCCATTCAGGAACAAGATGCACTGCTGCTGGGCATGGGGAAATGCACATGGTGCTTCTGCTCTAAGTGAGCATAGCAAAAGCATCATGATCTGCTCCTATACAATCCCAGATTAGCTCCAGTCCACTCAAGGCAGATTTGCACACATGCATCCATGCCTGAGAAGCAGCCCAGGGACAGCCTGAAGGAAGCAAAAGATCTTTACACTGTTTTCACTCATCTCCTCACTTCAGGATTGGATATAAACTTTTTGAGAAGACTGAAGAACCGAGTCTCCAGAAGGTGATGTTGTAGGACAGGACACACCAAGCAATGCCAATCCAGCAAGGATGCAATTTCAAATTCTGCCTAGCATGTAAATGACTTGTGTGCCATCCTTGTATTGTGACCTCTGCAATCAACAGCAGCACGAGCTGCTCTTTTGCAAGATATTTTCACGGAAACCTCTTCTTGCTGAAACAGTTTCTCCTTGTAAACCCAAACAACCAAACCAAAGTCAGAAAAAGTAATCTCTTTGAAAGCCTTGACTTCAGGAGCTGACTCAGATTTGGAAGTACCTAAAGGGCCATGAGAATCAACACTGAGAAAAATTTATCCTTAAACAAAACTTCACATGTGACATGACACTGAAGCAACTCCCCTGTAAAGTGGAATTAAGGAGACACTACTCTAAGGAGGAGGAGGCACCAATCTGTCAAGCACAATAGAAGCCAAAGCAAACCAATATTTGAGGCCAAAATCTCTCATACCTACAACTACTAACATCCCTAAAATATCAGTAAAACTGTCACATTTTCCAGGAAAATAACACACTCAAAATTAAAGATCAGTTGAAAGAAACCTATCATCTAGCCCACATTTGAAGCTCTGGATTTTTAAATTTTAATTTCAGGTCTGATTGTCACTTCCAGCTGGATTGCTGCTGACCATTATAATAGAGCATGTCCAACAGTATGTATTACAAATACTGAGCAGTCTGATATCCAAATACATTTTAGGTGTTTGGAAAAGGAAAGCCTACATTTTTTCAACTGTGTTAGCATTCATGGAATCACAGAATAGTGTGGATGAGAGAAAACCATTAAGATCTTCAAGTCCAGCTGTTAACCTAGCACACTGCCAAATCCACCACTAAACCATGTCCCTAAGCACCACATCTAGACATCTTTTAAATACCCCCAGGGATGGTGACTCCACCAGTGCCCCGGGCAGCCTGTTCCAGTGCCTGACAACCCTTTCAGTGATGAATTTTTTCCTAATATCCAATCTAAACGTCCCCTGGAGGTTCAGCGTGCATGCGTGGGACTGGATAACTTCAAAGTACATCACAAGTGATCTAAGTGGTTTTACACAAAGTTGTTCCATGCGCTGTGCATCAAGTTTTCCAGCTGCTCCATACACACAGCCATGACACCTGCAGCCCTACTTAATGCTGGGTCTGGGTAGCACAGCATTATGCCCTATGCCCTGCATTTGCACAGCTGAGCAGAAACCCAACCTTCAATTTACTTCTGTTCTTCCAACAGACCAAGCTCAGTGTTTCAATGATGGAAGAAATGGAAGGGATTTCCCTCTTTATCCTGGAGTTCATAACTCTTCTGAAGGCACTAAAGCAGAGCATGAAAGAAATTAAAATTTTCAATTTTTGATTTAAAAAGTTATTTCTGAAGGATATTCCTCCCCTTATAATACAGCCTTCAAAACACAGCCTTCATATGATAAATAGCAAATCACCCTTTGTAGAGAGGCATTTCCTACAAACTCCTTTAAAGTGCCTTTAGATGCTAATTCCTTTCTACCAGCCTCCCTTTACTAATCCAGACAGGAAATTGGGTATTTTCAATTACCATGAGAAGAAAAAGAACCAACACAGCTTTCATTTTCTAGGTTTAATTATTTTACCATTCCTTTAATAAAGCCAGAGCCCATAATAATAAAGAACTCCACTCCTAGGTGTAAAGAAAACAAACCAGAAGCAATTATGGAAGTGTTAGACCTGTCTGGAATTCAGTAAAGTAAGCTTTCTTACTTCTATCTCTCTCCCACCCCTTCCTCCTTTTTCAGTTTCTAATCAAATGCTGTCATTGCCTCAGATTGCTTACCCTTAGCAAACTCTGGAGTCCTTTATTAGTGACTGGCAGCTCTGCCCGAAGTACTTATATGTTACAGCTCAGCCAAAGAACAAATTTGAGAGATGGGAAGATGCAAGCAGAGCTGGTAGAAAGCTGGGGAAAACTCTCATATATGTTGAATCATATGACCTCTGTGAAAAAATAAACTTACTACAGTATCATGTAGGCCAAAAAGCAGAGGAGAATAATAATGTAAAATCTTAAATTAAGAGATGTAATTCCCCTTTTGCATGGCTGCAACATATCTAAATTCTCTTCCTTGATGTAGGTACAGAAACATATTAGATTGACAGAAAATGTATTAATGTATCTAAATCACCTGGATGTACCCCATCCCAATCACATCTGCCCCACTTCCACTGATCTCTGCATGCTCTGCTTGAGCTGACCAGATTTGGCAGTGATCTAAACC